TAAAGATCTGACTTCAAGTCCCAGCCGTGTTTCTTATTAGCAATGGGAACTTCCATAAATTACTTAATTTGTCCCAGTCCCAGCTCCTTCATCTACCTCTTAAGGTTATTGTGACTATGGAATAAAGCGACCCACATAGAGCTGTAGTTCAGAGTCTGCACAGGAGTGTCCTCTACTTATTAGCTCCTAATAGCACAGAGGTGGCAGCAGTTGCAAGTGCCTGGCACAAGAGGGCGCGCAAGAGACGACCAGTTCCCGTGTGGTCTCAGCCTAGAGGTGGCCACACCTACCAAGGGAGACCCTCTCCTCTGCAGTTCTGGGGACATAAACTGCTAGGACGACCTCTTCGGCCACTGCTGACATTGGACCCCACCCTTCTCGCCCTCTCCTCCAGGTTCCCCTTCCATTCTTACCGCAGCCTTTCCTGCTGGACAGTCCAGTTGTTGAGAGAGGGACTTCCTGCTACTACAGAGAGAATAAGGCTGTCTGTCTGTGGGTGCTGCAGATTTCTTGGTCATGGGAAAATCCATTTCTCCTGTGCAATAGGGATTAACACCTAAAGCGGAAGAGGAAAAATGGCAAGAAATCATTTGTGCTCCCAACATACAAAGCTCAACTGAGAACAAGGTCAGCCCCTGCCACCTGCCAGCCCCTCATGAGCCAGGGACCCACGTGGACATCAGCCACTGAACACCCAGTGCAGGTGTGTGGTGGGGAGAGGTGGCCGTAGAAGACATGGGCAGCATTTTCGTGATCTCCATACATGCTTTCTGTCCTGCAGGGAGTGGACAGGACTCTCGATTCCATCTTACCTCGATCCATCTCAGCGAGAGGAGACAGGCATCTCCTACATGTCAAGCAGTGGGCTGGGCTCTCTGGAAACTACAATGCTACATCAAACCCAGTCCCTGCTGCCAGGGAGTTTTCAACCCCAACCAGAGAAAGAGGAGGAAAGCCCAAAGGGTTCTCAGGACCAGTACAAACCAGTGGCCACCACAGGGAGAGACTGGGCAGAAACGGGGGGGAAAGAGGAATCCTCCAGCCAACCTCCCCAAAGGATCTGACTGCCTCCTACACACACACACTGACGCAGAGGCTTGTACACTCTTCGCTCACAAAGAGGCAACTCTCGATTCTTCAAGGATCTAAGAAAATGCAAAGTAATTGGCTTCCTCTTGTTTGTGGGAACCTCAGACTGCCTTTCATCCAATCAGGAACTCTGCTGCATACAGCTGGAAAAACTTTCAGAGATGACCTGATTTAACCCATCCTTGTCTAGAGCAGCGCTTCCAAACTGAAACATAATGTGAGCCACATACGTCATTTAAAAGGTTCTAGCAGCCACATTGAAAAAGTAAAAAGAAACAGGTGAGATCGATTTTAACAACACATTTTATTCAGTCCAATGGATTGTCCTTTCAACCTATACATAATACATCAAATTATCAATAAGATATTTTTTCCTTGCACTTAGTCTTTGAACCCAGTGTGTCTTTACATATCCTATACATCTCCATTGGGATGAGCTGCATGTGGCTATTGCACTGGGGGTGTCACTCTGGAGGCCCAGAGAGGGCCAGGGTTTTCCTAGTGCCCCTCAGCTCAAGTGAGTGGACAGGCTCTTGCAGAAAATTCCCCCAGAGGAAAAAGCAAGCTTGGTAGGAGTTCAGAGGAAATGTAGGATGGAGAAGGGTTTGGGGTTTGCTTTTATTTTTAGGATGGGAAAGACTTGAGCTTGTTTATAGACTGAAGAGAGGAAGCCACTGGCCAGGGTAGGTTGAGAATAGAAGAGGAAAGAACGGGCATCTGTGAGGATGTGAGATCCCAAAAGGGGATCAAGGAAAGGCGCAGGGACACAGTGGAGAAGGGAGAGTCTTGGTCCACCGGGGCTCAGAGAGTGTCCCTGCCAGGGCAGCTGCTCTCAGCAGCCGCCT